TTTTGGAGATTTGTCTCCAACATCTGAAGATGCGATGGATCTTCATCGAAGACTAACACTCGCAAACCCTCAGGGAAGTTGCTTGGAAACATATCGGAGAAGTTTGGTAGTGGATCTCTAAATGGACCATCACCGTCGTCATTAGCCATAACTCCACGGTGCTCCAATTTCTCAGCCATATTTGATGGCTGCATATAAACACTGCGTGTTTTTTTGAGGTGTCCGGCCTTTTTAACTAAAAAAGATTCTGATATTATCCTACAAGGATATTATTCATTTTATAAGAGAAAAAATAGAAGATGAACCCCAAACTTATAATATCTTAACAGAATTTATTGTAACAATTGTTTAAATTAAAATCGTAACAATTAAAAATTTAAAATGGGTTAAAAAAAATTGTAACAATTAAACATGGCTTCTAAAATAACACGTCACCACATATTTCTTTTTAACAAAACTGTTATCACGATCTTCATATCCTTTTTGCAAAGTTCTTCATGATTATAATTTGAGATTTTCGAAATTGGAATGGATTATCTATGTTTTTTTTTCTTTATTTATTTAGTTTACATAGTTAGATCCACATTTGAACAGAGGTAAAAAAGGAGGGAATATTAGGATTTGGAAAAGCTATAAACATTGTCCGGTAAAAACTCAACCAATGTATGTCTAGCTATGAATTATATAATTAACTAAACATAATGCGATAAAAACTCAACCACTCAGTTTAGAACACTCACAAATACAAAATTTCTATATAGAGAAGTGACTAGAGTGCCATAATTAAATTGCTATCCAAATTTTACTTATTGATTCACAAAATTCAAAACTTGTAATTTTGTTTTATATAATTGTTGTTCTTTTTTGTTCCTTTTTGAATATTGATTTAATACATTTTAGTGGATTTATCATAAGGGGTGTCGAAGTAATCATTTAGTGATATGTTTATATATTTTATAGAGAAAAAAGATTGTACAGAAACAAAAGTTAAAAAGATGGGATAAAACTAAGTAGTCATCAGGTAATATCATACTTTAATTTATGAAAAAAATTAAAATTCTTAAGAGCCTCTAAAGAGCCTTACTCACTAAGTTTTAAAATAAAATTTCCTTAGAACAATATCTTCCTTTTTCAAATATTAATGTAAAATTAAACTTATGTAAACCAAAACCTTCTCCATCGTCGTTAGCCACCACTGGTTCCACAATTTTTATGATTTGCTTTCTTTTTTCATTCTCACTTTAGCTGACTCTCCTTTAGTCTTTGTACTATTCTCCCACTTCTCCTTACTTTAGGAGTGTAGTCGTGGGTAAAAAAACCCGGCCCAGCCCGAACTCGAGTTGAGCCCGTCCACGAAAAGTCCGAACTAAAAAAATCCGATGGGTTTCTGGTTTTTATGGGTAAGCCCAAAAAAAACCCGAGCGAGTGTGGGTACCCGAATTTATATTACCCTTTTTTTCTTCTTTATTTGGATTTATAAATATTTGTATTTTATATGTATTTGTATTTTATTCTTTTTAATTTATTAATTCTAATACAAAGACAAACAAACAAACTTCCTATTAACTTTATTATATAACAGAACCAACAAAAAATTGATTCTCAACAAAAACCAAAAGCAGAACCAACAAAAAACAGAGAGTACAAAATATTTTAAAGCATATCCGAAAACATAAAACCAAAGTCATAAATACGTGTAGGAAAAATACGTGTGATCCTCCTTGAACCGTGGAAAACTTGTTTTGATCAGAACCTTCATTCGATATCTTGAGCTCTAGGATATAGTTCAAAAGATTCTAACATGAGATATGGTCAAAGTCAAGGTCAAAAGACCTTCCGAAGCTCTCAACATTATTTGTTCTTTACGAATTACGATCAATGGAATTGACCAACATTTCCGGTGCACTAAACACTATCATACATTATCCATCCTAGATTTTGATTTTAAGTTGAACTTTATGGTTTGGATTTTGGAACTAAGAGGCTGAAGAAATTTCAAAGTCAATTCCCATTAGTAAACCAATCAAAGTTAATGATTCTAAACCGGTAAGGAAACCAGTTCGGTTAATTTATTTTGAATTAGAGAGTTAGTAAATCTTTTTTTATGGTTTAATCTCATTGTATTGGATTATTGGTTTTTAAACCGGTCGGTCAGCATAACATATATCACTTATTGGATTAGTTTTAGAAAAGACTAAGTAAACTATAGTGTGTTTAAAAAAGCGGTCTAGACATTTAGGAGTTAAGCGTTCTTAAATTTCTTAGATTTTATTAAAATCGGTTTTACTAGATGGATAACTAGATTTGACGGATTATGTGACTATCATGCGGGCTAGACGGTCAGATTAGTAACGGAACTTGAGTTTGAAAGTGACTATGAGACATGGCTATGAAAAATGTTTAGTTTTGACTAGGGTAAAAGTAAAATGACTGAGAATAAATGGTTAATGTAAGCTAGGGTAACGCAAATACACTAAAGGATATTACTGGGTTCAAAGAACTAGCATACGTGGGAACTCAGAGGGAGTTTGGATAGTGATCCATGGCTTGGGGGTTCATTTAAGTGATTCAATACTAATCCCTCTGTTTCAAATTATAAGATGTTGAAGGTAAAAACATACATATTTAGGTAGTTTGTTTTTCTTTTAAAAAATATGATTTATGTTTAGTTAAAAACAAATCTCACCAATCATAAAAAATACTGTAGAATATAAATGGTCACAAATGATCAAATGTATTTAAATTTGCATATAAACTTGTAAAACATCTTATTATATAAAACAAAATAAAATGTTTAAAACATCTTATATTTTAAAATAGAGAGAGTAATAAACATAGAAATGAGTACCCCACATGACCGTATTTACTCAAGGATAATAATTTTTTTTTTGGTCAAAAAAAAATAAAATAAAAAATAATAATTATCCTTGAGTAAATGGGGTAATCATTGCCAAAAATTATTAAAAAAAAAATACATTCTAGTATCCTATACTATTATTTGGGGAGTACAATTTATGGATTACCCTTAATTAACCTTCCCCTTTGTAAGAATTTACTTAAGAATGCCATTAGAAATAAAATTTTATAGAGTAAATTAATTCAACTCATTAAGGATAAACAAGTGAAATACTATTTTATGCAATTTAATTAATTTAATTTAATTATAAAAATGAAAATCTATTATTAATTTCTTTAAAAATAATGACCAATCAAAATGAACATATAAGATTTGATATCTAACTTACCATATTAATTTGTTATTAATCATTATACTTCACCTCTCATCTTTATATGATTTTATTTTTATAAATAAATAAATCATTATATCATCTATATAATAAGAAAAAGTAAAATTTTTTCCGCATATACCAAGATTTGAATTTTTAAAAACGAATATAAATTATTCAATGTATGAAAGAACAAATTTAACGGGTCAAAAATTCATATTTGAGTAATATATTCCTTTTTTTTTTTAATATCATCAATACTTAATAGATCAAAAATTTATGAAGTATAAATACTCTATTTTGATTTTTTGAAACAAATATTTATAATAGGCGGCGGGTTGAATATAATATATTATATGATGAAATGAGTTATGATCCTTATAACTATTTGAATATTTATATTTAATTTCATATCATTTTTTTTAATTCATAATTTTACATAATACAATAAAATTTTTAAAGATTTTAATTTGGAACATTTTAAAATAGTTTAATTTAATATATTAAAGAATATCATAAATATTTAATAGATTAAAAAGATAAAAAAAAATTATAAATACATTAATTTGATTTTCTAAAAAGATATGTTTAAAATATTTGTAGTAAGCGGCGGGTTAAATGTAATGTATTATATGGTAGAAAGTTATGATCCTTATAACAGACGGCATTTTAAGATTTTATGATGAGATGAGTTAAATAAGGTTTGACACGTCTAAATATTTGAAAATTTGATTCTGCAAGCAATTTTGAAAATAATAAATAATAGATTGTGGCGCAATATTTTCATACGGATTGTAAAATGAAAATATAGACTCCACACACGGATTGAATTTGATATTATTATATACCAAATATATGTTCATAACCAATGAATCAGAATTTGAAAAAATAATTTCCTAAATTAATTCAAAATAATAGCTAATTTTCTTAAGTAATTCAAAATAATCTACGTTTTAGATGCGATTCATTTATGATATTTTGATTTTTGATTTAACTAAATTATATGCACTCTCATTTTGTGGTTGTTAACATAAATTAACTCATTGTTCAAACAATATTAATTTTTTTAAAAAATAATCTTATTTTCCCTTTTCATATCTTAAAAAAAAATATCCATAATTGAATATTATAGAAAAAGGAAAATATATTCATTCTAATATTATATAGAGATAGGGACTGACAAAAAAAATATTATTTTTTCACTTACTATTATAATATATCACAACTTTATTCTAAAACATAAAATTTATAAATTTTGTAATAAATGAAATTCAACCCGTACTGTAGTACGGGTGATGATCTAGTAAATTATTGCAGTAGATTAACCATTGCCAAAAATTAAACAGTAATAATAAGAGCAATTATTTATAATAGCATAATTAAAAAGGTTACAAAATCAAGAAAACCATGGTTGCTACTATTTTTTCACAAAAATTTCAAATAGTGGTTCATTTCAATTTCATTTGCTATCCACTTTTCTTTCTACTAAAAGCAAAACTTTGGATATAAAAAAAAAAAAAATCACGGGAGAGGTTTGAGTTATTCTCTCACACGCGTACAAAATAATTAAGATTCGTACCAAAAAAAAATATACACGAGCCACAAAAGTCACACGTGTGAAAAGTGAAACATAATAAACACAGTACAAAACACAACCACTAGTTTCGGTATGGTCAAGACTGTAAATACACAAACAAACTCCGAACCAGTAGTAGTTCTGGTCACAGCTCTTTCTTTCCACTCTCTCTCTCTCCATCACATCGTTCTACTTCTAGGGTTTGGCTAAATTAGATTCAATATCTTCCTAATCTCAATAATATATCCTGTAAATTTGTCTGCTTTTGTATTCGTAATCTTTAACAATTAAGTGGAAATGGATTCGAATTCATGGATCAATTGTCCTCCCGTGTTTTCATCATCGTCTTCTTCACGCCGTTACCAATCTCGATCAGGTTTGTAAGTTAGATTGTATATGTAAAGTTTCATCCTTTGTTGTGAATTAATGATGAAAAAACACTTCTTTTTTGAGGCAGATTTGTATTTGGGAGATGTTGAAGGAGAGGACGATTTGAAAGCAGAGTTTATGTGTCCGTTTTGTGCAGATGAGTTTGATATTGTTGGTCTTTGTTGTCATATTGATGTGAACCATCCTGTGGAGGCTAAGAATGGGGTAATGTTCACTGAGTTACAAGAGTTTCATGATGATTCTTAGGTTTTGTGTTTAGGTTTAAATTTCCAAATCTCGAAGCTTTCTTGAAATGGAAAAAGGTTGCTTTTTAACCCATTGTTTAGCTTAATCAAGTGAGCCATTGTAATTACCATTTGTAGAAGATTATATAATTAGTAATTTAGGGTCTCTTATGTGTCATCTTTGATGTGAGAACAGAGTGCTTAAATGATCATCCGCATTTTACATTTGAGTGTTACTAGAGTTCCATGATTCTTAGATTGATTAGGTTTATATTTAGGTTTGATTTCCAAATCTTGAAGCTTGCTTGAAATGCAAGTGGTTGGTTTCTTAAGCATTGTAATCTCGAAGGGCTATTAAATTAGAAAGTGATTTAGGTTCTCTTATGTGCTATCTTTGATGTGAGAACATAAGTGTTTAATTGGTTAAATTAAAAACAGTTTGCTTTTGCTTTGTTCCTAGGTTTGTCCTGTCTGCACAAAGAGGGTGGGATTGGACATTGTTGGGCATATAACAACGCAACACGGGAGCGTATTTAAGATATCCTTTTGAAAATTTTGATATTCTCTTTAACGGTTTTGGTAGAGTTTGAAGTGTCATTTTGTGTATTCCTTGACGTGAGAGATTTTACGTGCAGCGAAGGAGAAGGTTGCGTAAAGGTGGATATAGCTCTGCCTATCTTACACTTAAAAAGGAGCTTCGAGAAGCTAACTTACAGTCTTTTGGAGGATCTTCCACTTTCATTCCCTCTTCCAATATAGATTCTGATCCTCTACTCTCATCTTTTATGTTTAAACCTCCTGCGGCTATACCCATCGCTGAAGGAGACTCGTTAGCAAATGTTTCACCTAAGGACACCCCTAAAAGGTATAATCTCATACTGTACTCTTAAGAAATGTGTCGCTTTGGTTGGATTTCACGCAGAGCCTGTTTTTATCATTCCTTTACAGGAACGTACGACAAGTATCACTTTCCATCGAAGATCAAGAGAAGGCAAAAAAGAGCGAATTTGTGCGGGGCATGCTTTGGTCTACCATGCTTGAAGACAAGTTCTAATCTCTCTAGATATCTTATATTGTAATGATGTATCAAGAAATCATACATTAGTCTCAATGTATGTAGCAGAGCCTTGTAGCAAGCATAATGGCATGCTGAGTATGTTGTAATCGGATGTTCTTGGGGTATCTTTTATGTGCATAATCAGAATTCAGAAGATATATAAGTACTATTTCACTCTGCTCAGGACTTATAAATTAGCCAAAGCTTAAAACTTTTCAGTATAAGACTTATAAGCCAAACCTGTGTTTCAGTTCAGCAATCAAATTGTATCACAAAAAGTGTTGCATCTCAACATTACAAAAACACTCCTCGCAAATTTCACTATATGGGCTCCTCAAATCCTTATTCAGGGTAAAAGCAAAAGACTAAGTTTCAGAAGAAAAAGGAAGATTAGGCTACAATTCACAAAGCATCTTCTGGAAACGAAACAGCAGAGACTCTTAAATCGCCTGAAAAACACGCAAGAGTCTAGCCACTATTTGGTGGTTCTTCAGTGTAAGAGAGACTTTATATGTGAAGTAAGAGCAGCAGATAATGGGTCTTTAGATCAGACCAGAGCCAAATCGATGGTCAAGAAAGTATCTTTCATTTCACCTCATTTGTGGGCTGTTAGAGGTGAAGAATCTGTAGTCTGGATGATCAACTTGCAGACGCTTGAGCCATTTATCTGCAGCTTGTAGCAAAGAAGTGATCTTTTGGGACTCTTGAGTTCTATTTTGGTTCCATACAGATACTTTCAGCTTATAAGATGCGAGTCCAAAAGTAGGCAACGGTAGCTTTGTGGATGGTTCCGAATCACTACAACCAATAGCACCTGCTCCAATACATACACAACCACTGAGTAAGAGATCACAAGGACGAGGGCAAAAAGCCAATATTGCATTACATTAAGTCATCGGTTACTTACTTTGAGGAGGTGCTGTTGAGAGAGAGTGAAAAGTTAGAAAGCAGGCATCGAGATTTTGTAGTGTTGGACCAACCGGTATTCTGTATATTGGATACCTACACACCAACAAATTAACAAAGCAACATTTTCAAATCCATTCCATATATTCCAAAATGTAACGATCTCAAGAGTCAAGACTCAGGAAGGTTCACATGAAACATACCATGAAACAGAGACCCAACTTGAAGGAAGAAGATCACAGCTCCGGTATGTCATTAGCTCAGGAAATCTTGACGCCAGATCCGAGACCTGGTGTGTATGAAAACTTTATTAGAAAACATTTAAAGTAAACAATGAAAAGAACTGCCTTTGCTTAGGAGGACATTTACTTTGTTAGCCAGAGGTTCCCGGCCAAACGGAGGTTCATACTCCAAGTACTCGAATAGTAATCGTCCCTGCGGATTGCTGATCTCCGTTTCTCCACTAGACAACGAGCCAGCAATAGATTGATCTCTCAGACTAATTCTATTCAGTTCACTGACACTCAAGTCCACCGCATTCGGCAAATTCTTAGCATGATTAGGTAACTTCTCGACCTTACTGTTGCTGCTTCCTTCACTACTTCCTTCATTATCTTCAACTGGATTCCTGTTTGAAAAGAAAATAATCAAAAACCGTCAAATGGAAAACAGAAGAGTTCTGTCATGCACTAAACCGTTAACATTTCAAACACACTAACCTAGGCTTCTTCGACGGATCCACATATAACTGAATACCAGATAAGTAAGGCACATAATACTGCACAGTGGAGTCACTCCCATTCATTTCTAGAGGATGCATTTCTAAAGGAACACCAGCACCGTATGCACTCCATTCTGCGAATGACTCCCAAAGATCCTCCAAAACAAAATACGTATGGCAATCCGATTCGCGGGTTTTAAGTTCCCACCTGCTCCTCTATAAAAAAAAAACAAATTGCAGCAATAAGCAATGCTCACACCACAGAAAAAAAAAACACATCTTGCACTAAGTTCTACTCCAGATCAAACAATAAACTCAAAGTCTTCCCAATTCAACTCCAAGTATGACCAAAAGTCTCATCAATCAGAGATTATAAACACAACAATCACTACAATCTCAAGTTCAAGTAGCCACAAATGACACAGAATCAAGCATCAAGACCCAAGAGTCTTACCATGGGAAATAAACGGGCAGGAACAACAGGAGTAGTATGCTCCAAGAACCGATCCAAGTTAGACCCATCACTAAGAACCCGACCCGACCCGGAAGAAGAATCAGAAGAACCGGCACATACTTCCGAACCCGAAACAACAACCCGATTCTTACTCTCCGACACACCAAGACCTTTCCTAGTCCTCGGAGGAGGCATAGCCACAACAGTCACAGCCTTTCTTCGCTCTTCTTCTTCATCATCACGACGTTGCTTCTCCCTAATCTGTTGCTGCAATTGCGCCTCTTGCTGCATCCTTCTCATCGGAGGTGGATTATAAAACCGATTCTCACCACGGATCGCTGTACGTGCGATTGAAACTCCTCCAGAACCCGACATTGTTTGCTAATTTTCAAAATCGATCGCAAAAATCCAAAACCCAGATGAAGCAAAATCGGATAAAAAAAAGTGAAATTTCTTTCTCCCCAGAAAAAATAAAGAAGAGAAGAGAGTAAAAGATTGCTTCTTTTGGGACTTTGCTTGATGAAACAAAGTAGAGAGTTGAGGAAACTGAGAGGAAGTGAGTTTCTAGGGTTTTAGAGAGATTGGGGAAGATGAAGAAATGGGGAAATTTTTGATAATATAAAATGGGAATTTTAATTTTTATAATAAAATTCTAGTGGTATACACTAAATTAGTTATTTAATAATAATAATAATACAATAAATAGTAAATATTTACGGGTGTGGCGAAGAGAAGAAGATGGTTGGAAAATGAAGAGGTGTGTCTCTCTGTGGTTTGGTAAGCGAATGGTTTTTGAGTTGACGAAGCAGCTCTTTGTTATTGGGCTGGGCTTTTATTAACTAGGCCCAGCTATTACGCCGGCCTCCAAGTTAGCCAAGCTGATCGATTAGTATGTTCGAAATACCTTGACAACCGGCTAAGCACCTGACAGGCTCTCCCACCTACGAAGGCGGACTGCGATATTGGTTCCAATCCCACACTAAGGTTCTTTATGTAATCGTTTCCAAAAATTCTCTCGGTTTTTCGGCTTGATGTTTCCTTTATTGTAAAACAGTCTTTTTTTGGTGAATATAATTTTACATTCATTAAAGAGAAAAATACATTAATAGAGCTTAGCTTGTCCATAGATAATATTTTTACTTTCTCGTTACTGGGCTTGAATGTTTTTCTAGAGTAGTAATGTTGCCTATTGCCTCCAGGTTGGATTTGAACCAAGCTTGGGATATAACTACTGTTGGATCTAGACTACTGAGTCGAATTCTTCTGAGATATAGACTTCTCCAAAGTCACCATTCTCTTCAAAAACGTATACAATTCCATTGTCACAACATACAACGACCTTTTTCTCCTCGTCCGCAATGAAGAAACTTACATCACACGTTAATTTACGGTGAATGTAAGTGTTTAAATCCACTGCCAAAAACTTGGTCTACGACAGGACTTTGGTCTGATCATTAATCTCATCATTGGTCGTCACCCAAATCTCCACCATTGATGTATCCCTCCTCTGTTGCAAAATCGAAAATTGCTCTTCTCTAACTAGAGATACTGCCAAAACTTGGTAGCCAAGACACTGAGAGGAGGGAAGATTCAGACGTCCAAATCTCTCTCTTGTGAAATCAAACCTTAGTAGTAAAAATTCTTTGACTTGTAAAGCAATCCAATAAGTATTCCCCTTAAAAGAAACCCCACTAGACTGTAAGATGCAGCCCAGGGTGACCTCACTAAGAGCCCTCCATGAATTAGAGCTAAACTCATACAAGTCTAACTCTGAAAATCCCATTTTTGGAAGATCCAAAATCCTCAAGACTTTGTAGATATCGCATAATTCCTTGTGGTATCCGAGGGCAAAGACTAATTTGTTGTTAGTATATCCTCTAACAAATCACTTGGAAGATCTGACATCGCCATTGTCTTCAGTGTTTCCTCTTGTGATCTCTATAAAAATGAGAGAGGCCGGCTACAACTAGAAATTAGGGTTTCTATGTTTCACTTTTGCCCTCAAATGGGCTTTTCTTAAACTCTAAATACTATAATAAATCTATAATTTTCATAAGATTTTTTTTTTAATTAAAGAGAGTTGGTGGAAATAATTTTAGGTGTTACTTTTCATAAATAACCTTTTCTCGAACGTGAATCTTTGATCAACTATAAAAGTATTGTTTGTTTGCTTATTTGATAGTTAGGAGTCTAACTTAGAACGCCAAAACAAGCCATGAAAGTAGAAAGCTTCACAAAAGATATGTGCAAAGAAAGAATCAACAAAAAAAACTGATGATGAGAGATCTTTTCTCAAGTCATGTGAAGAATCTCCACTGAACAAAATTTCTTTGGTTACACATGAATGAAGAAATGAACCTGTACAAGATATATTAATCTCACAAGCTGCAAATAACAGGGACAACACCAACAATGGGGATTTGGAACAGGTAACTTCTACACACTGTGGTTTTTTTTCAGGAAAAGAAAAGAATCTGACCTTTTGCTATCTTAACAAATATGAATCATCATGCCCAACCGATCCGAAATGAGGTTTCTAATGAAGTTTGGTTTCATAAGGCCTCAGCTCTACCATAGGAACTATCAAAACTCTTCAGCTCGGGGCACGGTTCAGGGACTACGGATTCTGAAGAACCGTCAACATATGAGCATTGCCAAGAATCAGCAGGAGAATCGGAGTTTTTAATCGACAGAGAGATATTCGATAAGAAAATCGAAGTGAAAGGAGACTCTTCGGTTCCAAAGAAATATCCGGCAGTGCTTATGTTTTCTCCGACAATGTCATGTAATCTGATGTGACTCACAAGCGGGAAAGCATTAGCGTCGAAACCAGAATCCGGATGAGTACCGAAGCTACCATTGGCTAGAAACGCAGTACCAATATTAACCATATGGATGTTGGAGATATCGATCTCTTTAATGTAACCGCCTCTTCCGTTTGTTGTTCTAAAGGCAATCCCGGATAACGAGTTGTGTATGTGAACATCACTAACCTCGATATCAGATATGCCACCAGACATTTCACTACCAAAGGAAATGGATGAACCAGAAGCTGCTCCGAGGTAAACATTTCTTATCTGGACATTTGCAGTAGGTCTTGCATACGAAATACCGTATTCGTCCCAACCACTTTTAAGAGAAATGGCATCATACCCCATGTTGATACTAGAATCTTGGATGCATACATTTTCAGAAGAATCTGAAAAAATAGAAAACAAATAAAAACAGTTTGAGATTCTAATGCTGCAACAATTGTTTCAAACACCTATGTCTGGATCATAACAACTAACCCGGGACAATGCCGATGGTATAAGGAGATTCTGGAGAAGTATTAGCTGTTACTCTATGAATGTATAAATTGCTGCAAAACATCAGTGACCAGAGTCAAGAGTTTACCAAAAGATTTCAAAACCAAAGGAGGTATAATTATAAGAAGGGCATTTTCAAACTATGTTTACCTACAATAAACCGAATGGATAGTATAAGCCGGAGCATTCAAGAACGTAAGATTTGAGACAATGACATTTCCGGAAGAGACAAACTCGACAAGGTGAGGGCGACTATACTCTAAAGAATGAGAATTAAACCGATCCCACCAAACAAGACCTTGCCCATCTATCGTACCGTTATCACCTAAGCCAATGAATATGGAATACAACGGTGAGTTTTTATTTTAGCATTAACAAACAAAATGAAATGAAAGAAACAAAACATGTAGAACCTGTTACTACTACATCATGTAGCGTGTCACCGTTTATCAAACTCATGTATCTCTTCCCTGGTAGGTCAATACCCCGCCCATATGACGGCAAGGCATCTGCGACTTGCCAATGCGATGGATCCTTCATACAGTATTGGTAGAGGTAAGAACAACAAAAAGAGACAAAATGAGAAACAAATACACAAATGTTACTGGTAACAATGCAGAACCATGTATCATTGCTAGAAAAGTATTGATTTATTGAAAACCAACCAAATGACATATATCCTTTTATAATTCCCATTAATCTTGCTAAGTGATTGGTACAATATCATCCTAAGCAATTGGAGCCAGAGGTATTCCTAAGCCACAATGCCTAATTACTGAACCAAATTTGAGGTTTCTACACATGAATGGAATTTGATTCAAAAACAATCAAGAAATTGACAGGGATCTCTGAAGCTAATCAGAAGTTTAATGAAACAGCTAAGCTGCAAACTCTGATCTCTAGTCTTTAGAATGATCAAGACTTTAGACAAAGAGAGGCACAGACACACACACAGAGACACACACAGACCTGTGAGGCAAGTATGACGGCGTCTTTCTCGAGAAAGAGAGTGAGATGACTGGTGAGATTGAAACTTCCGGTGAGCCACCGTCCCGGAGGAACATATAGCTGAGCACCACCTTTATCAGCAAAAGACTTTAGATAGAAGACAGCATTCTGAAACGCAATTGTGTTCAACGTTTCCCCATCTCCCACAGCTCCAAAATCAGTGATTTTGACACTGTGTGGTCTCTCGTTCGGTCTCCGACCAAGATCGCATACGTTTCCGATGCCGTAACTTCTCCCATTAATCAGAATCACACTGCTCAATGCCAACAACAAAACTAATGCCACCTGAACAAGAAACAAAAATCTTACTCAGAGCATCAAATTCAGATCGGGAATCTATAGATAACAAAAGGGAATTATTTTTCTAACGGATCCAGTGAAATGACGAAGACCCAGAAACCATTAACGAACTAGGTTCGTGTTTAAAGCTTCGTCACAATCGAAAATCAAGAAATTTCGGACAAGAGAGTAAGAGAAGGACAAGAGACTTACAAAAAAAAAAAAAAAAAAAAAAAAAAAGGACATGAGACTTGAGAACTAAACTAATAAGAAGACGTGTACTTACTGGCATCTTTATTTCTAACAAAAAAAAAGATGTCAGAGAACAAAAAAAAGCTGGAAAAAGTGAAGAACTTTTCGCGCCAAATGGAACCCGACAGTGAGAAAGGAGAAGAAGAGCGAAGAAGAAGAAGTGAAAAGAAAGAAGAATGACCACTGAGAACAACAACACAGACAAGCTTTTTTTTTTATTGAGAAAAGTATAAATGATTAAAAAAACGAATTATGTTTTATTTATATAGTATAAAATAATTCCATTAAACAGAAAAAAGAAGCAAATAAGGTAGAAAAAAAATTAACGCCAAATGACAGCTTTTTTTATGCATATTTACATTTTAAGAATTTATATAAATTATTGAGCATATTAAGAAAAAAAAAATGGAGGAGAATATAGAAAACATGGCAAGTGGGAAAAACAATAAAAGGTAAATGGAAAAAATAAAAAGAGTATATTTTAATTAACGTTATTAATTTTATCATTAATTTCCACTAATTACCAATTAATATCATTTTGGCTACAAACCGTGGAAAAAATGATCGTAACGTATATTATCGCCGACAGGACTACCGGAGAGAAAGAGAAAACGATTTTTTTTTTCTCTCTTCATGAAGAAAAAGATGGAGAAATTAAAAAGAAATGGTTGTCTGAAATCGATATTTTTGTCTTTTACTTTGAGAGTGCATGTGTTTGGTTTTCGTTTTGTAAAAAGGTTTTCGATAAGAAAATAATTTTAGTGTATGATTTTTCTACTGTTTTGTTTTTATTATGTCTTTTTCATTGTTTTGTCGCCGTCAGTAGGATGTGATGGTGTTAGGGCATATTTATCGGGGCAACTGATGTAGTGATCTTAGATATTAAAAAATTGAAAATATTCAAACAGTAGAAAAACAAGCTGAATTGTGGTCTTCATCAAGATCTGTTCTTATACTAGTTCTAGGGTCATTTGTTGGTTAATGATTAATTTTTGTTGGAAAAAAGAAAAAAGAACATTATTTTAATAAATTTTATATTCTAAGATCTATCTTATTAAGTTATTGCGTTGCATATGGTTTAATTATATATCTAGGTATAGAGAAAAAGTTGGACATGTTGATTTGCTTTCATGTATAGTTTGTTTGATAACTTATGTATAAAATTTAGATTTTATTATATAATTAACTGGAGAAAATACAATTTTTATAATTTATATGTTTTAGTCAAAAACAAATTTCAACTTAGTTACGGGTCAAATAGAGTCTCGATATTATATTGACGTTACATAATAGTTATAAAATTGGATATAATTCGGTAAAATCAACACAAAAATAGAAATTAATTTTGTTGAAAAATAAATTGGAGATTTATAACCACCAATTATATACTAAATATCATCTATAAAAACCTTATTCGATGATTTTCGTACATAATATTTAGTGTACACTGGATTGTAGATAATTTTCATAAACAAAATTTGGCGTACAAATGAATGATTATCTTTGAAAGTATTTAATCTATATGAATAGTGAATGATTATAGTGGACAAAACATTTCGGTCAACTTGAATTTGTCACTAAATAAATTATTATTTTTATTAATTATTATTATATTTATCAGTTAAAATCTTATTTTCTAATTATATTATTTTTATTTTATCAACTTAACATCTAGTTTTCCTAAATTACCTATTACTTTACCAAAATTCTCTTGATACAAAATGTTAGTAGACATGTTGATAAAGCTAACAAAACAAAGAATCTAATAAGTGTTTCAGTTACAAAACAAAGAATATGATGAATAATTATTTAAATTTCTTGTTTGAAGGACTATATTAGGAGACTTGTATGTATACTTAAATTTTTAAGAACTAGTACCCAAAAATATCCACATATATTTTTTTTTTGCCAAGAAGATCAACTTTTGAAATTCAAAACATATATTTTAAAAAAAGAGTATTCAAAGAAAAAAAACAAGAGAATTAATATAAGTAAAGTTTGAATATATATGGTAAATGAGGGCAATATAAGAAAAGAAAGTGTGGGGAAAGAAGGGAAGAAGACACAAAGCCATGTGGCTGAATGGTAAATGGGTACCACTTTTATTCATCTTCCAATTTGCCAGCCTGTCACTTTTGGGCCTTCTTTTTTTCCTCTTATGTTTTCTATTTCTATTTTCATTTCATATTCAAAGTTACCACTGATATGAAAGTTAAGTTTTGTTTTTACTTTTTGACATCAGTTAGTTTTGATAATAATGTTTCTGAAAAAGATAAAATATTACATGGGCTAGTGATTATTAACATTTGAATATAACCAAAAACTCAACATAAACCCAATTATCCTAAATTCTTTTAAGACTTGCTAAAAAACAGCATCGAATTCTAGCCGGATTTGGTTCGAACTCAACATTGCTAGTACATTGTCATTGACTATGATTTTGCAGACGTTGACATCAATAACAATCGCGTTGAGGAAAATCGTGTGAACGTCCATATCGAGATGAGGGACTGTGCCAGTACGACATCGACGCAAAAGGTATGAACCAGGGATCATCCCAACATTAACGAGAAATAGCATCGACAAACAACGTCAGACACAACCACACATTTTGTCAACTCTAAAGTAAGAACAACAAACCTATTCGAATGATCAAATCAATGGTTATAGTGTGAACGTCCATATCGAGATGAGGGACTGTGCCAGTACGACATCGACGCAAAAGGTATGAACCAGGGATCATCCCAACATTAACGAGAAATAGCATCGACAAACAACGTCAGACACAACCACACATTTTGTCAACTCTAAAGTAAGAACAACAAACCTATTCGAATGATCAAATCAATGGTTATAGTACTCATTACTCAAGTCGTGTGGTTAGGCATGCTTTCAGCAATTGCTAGTGCATCATCATCTTATTTGTTGCGAGAGCGCCTGTAGCAAAAACTGTTTAGCTTCAATGTCTTTTTTAGCCGTGGACAAGAATGGCCTATAGCTTTCAAATTCTGTTTCAGCCATGAATATTAGGACCTCGAGCTATACTATCAATCTAATCCTTCTAAACCGGACAAGACGGCAGTGCTCTTTTAAGAGTTTGTGAACTTGCGCTGAAAGAAACATGTTAATTCTGTTCTTACTATGACAAGAGAATTTACACGCTCAAAAGCTACACTACAGTAAAGAGGAAATGTACGAGTCAAAACGATAGCCGACATCATCTGAAATGTCGTAGACATACTCCTCCTCGTTGTCATATGAGTAATCGGAAACAATGGCATCATACTCATGAATCGAGTCATTAGGGTGTCTCAAAACTTTGATCCTATCGTAACACTGCTTCTCCCGATCCCCAACAAGGTTAATATTGAAACACTTGCGTATATCAAGATGATCCAGCTTCGGACAATTGTCAAGAATGGCGTTTAAACCGGCGTCTGATAACCCGTTCCCTAAAAGCTGGAGGTGGCGAAGACCATGCATCGTTTCAGCAACCGCTAGAGCAATCTCATCGCCACAGTCCACATAACCCATGCCTTGAAGCTTCAACTGCCTTATCATCAACGTCCTTAGATTTGGACAAGACTTGCCTATAGCTTTCAAATGATCTCCTGAGATAAACGAGTGCGTTACAACCTCGAGTTCTTCAAGCAATGGGAGTTTCACAACTGCTTTGAAAATCCCAAAACTCGTTATCCCACCACAGTTAACAGCTCCAAGGCGTCTAAGATTACTTGATCTGCAAATAGCATGATACTCACAATGGAACAAACACAATTTGGGGCAATTTCAAACCCTAATTTCCTTACTACAATTGAAATCAAGTCAACAATTTAGAAATTTTCATCAAATTTTGCTTTGCTTGTGAGTTTTAGGGATTTGAAAGAACCTGTCGGCGATGTAGGAGAGGAGAGAATCGCTCCCAAAGTCTTCAATGTTGATCTCCAGCAAACCGCCACGGCTGAGATCAACGGCGTGACGGCACATGGCTTCGAGATCGTACTTCCAGACATCGAAATTTTTTGACATTCGCGTCTCGATTTTGGTCCACGTCGATGGATCTTTACATACGCGTCGCCACGATTTGCATACCTTCTGAGCGTTGTTGAGTTTATCATGTATGTTAAGACGGAGAAGAATCGAAGACGTCAGCTCCGGTGGAAGATCCGCCCAGTTTCTATGATATTCTTTGTTCTTCATCGCCGGAGGCAAATGACAAAGACGACGGCGAAGAGAAGTGAAGTTAATTTCGACTCCTTTTGTAAAATTACAACTAGGATATGACCCGCGGTGTGTACCGCGGGATTAATTATTTGATTTTTTTATAAACTGATGAATTTGTTGTGTATAATATTTTTTGTTGTATACCGCGGATCGATTTTTTTGTAACTAAAAAATTTAAATTTTAAGTTGTATTTGTTTTTAGTGTTTAAAATTGTATAATTGTATTTTAATTGTTAATTTTAGGATTTCACCCGTGGTGTACCGTCCCATAGTAATATCGACCCAAATCCGTCCAACCACACAACTCCGTCCTATGCAATTAAACATCATTTTGTTATTTGTATGTTCAATAATACTTTATTTAATAGACGTATAGTTCGATTCAATTTAAAAGTTTGCTTATATATTTTTAATTTTTATAGAGTTCATCTATATTATTAATATTATAAACTTTTTTAGAATTTAAATATTATAAATATTTTAAACGTTTTATACAGTTTAAGTATCTAATTTTTATTAACTAATATATTTTATAATTATTCGTTTAATTTAAATAAAAGTGAAAGAATAAATCATATATTTATGTTTAAATTAGGTAGATATGTTTTAAGAAATTAGCTCAAATTTGTTATATTATCATTACATCATCATATTTGATTTTCTTATTTATAAAAATCGTACCAAATTCTCAAGTCTCATTTGTAAAATCTTTTCCTCTAGATTGTTTCTCCAGATTGGGTAACAAATCATGAAGTTATTTGTTAATTAATGTGTGGTTGATAAATAAATAAAATCGTACCAAGAACGGATTTAGTTATGGAAAGCGAGATCAATGGTAATTGTTGGTGTGAATATCCATTAAAGTTTTTTGGAAATTTATGATCCGATTTCAATTTTGATCCGTCAATGGCATTTTGAGCAAATACTTTCAAAGACCAAAGATTTTTGCCAATTGTACTTCAAAAATGTTAATATAGATTAACTGTTTGAAAAGTAAGGTGTTAATTATATGTATAAAGAGAGGCTGCTCGAATCTCTTAATTATGTATATTGGCTATGTGTCTGTTGTGGACAATATTAATCGTTGATTTATTGACTTTAGTTACACAAAAAAAATCAGATACACTTTAAAAACATTAAACACTAGATAACAACCCGCACTATGTGCGGGATGAAGTGATTCAAGTAAAATTATTATCCGGGATCTAAGATCCGTTTGTGTAAAACGAAACATGTTACAAATTTTTTTTTATTTTATTCAAATTTGGGACTATTTCATATAAGAATATGTTTTACCCGTGAAATATTTGAACCTTGAATAAAGCTTCAACGTGATAAAAAAAGTATTGACGAAATGTTACCATTTATGGCAATATGTCTTTCCGTATGTTTTAAAGATTTCGAGATTTTGTAGTATAAAAAGAATTTTTTTTTTTTTTTAATAAGTATAAGAAATCCAAAATTTAGCAAAGATGAGATTTGATAGTTTCCAAGCTAAGATTTTGTAGTGTTCCAAATCTAAGATTCTTAGATTATGAATGAATTATTTACGAAATGGTTATAATGTGGTCATATTTTGGTTTATATACAAATGTGGTTATAATGTTTTTCTTCGAAAAGTTAGAACTCCTCCAAAAAATAGGATTTTAAGTATTCGTAATATATATAGCTAGAAAGGAGATTATCTTATTTATTTAAGTAAAAAAATTATGAAAGATGTAAAGATTTTGTAGTTTTGAATTCGAGATTCTTGAACCAAATGTATATATTTTATCATTTAAATATAAACATAAATATAAATAAAAAGATTGTTTACCCATCCGCTAAAGAAAATTTATATAAATATATATAAAGAAAAATATAAATATAAAAATATAGTAATATAAGATAAACAAAAAGTGTATGTTTTTAATTATTAATGGGATATATGGATTAGGCCTGGGACTTAATATCCGGGATCCGGTATCCGATCCGGGATCCGCTTAGATCCGGGATCCGCTTAGATCCGCTCCGAAAAACCGGATATCCGAGACAACCGGATCCGGATCCGGATAGGAAAAATGTAGATCCGGTTAATAACGGATCCGGATCCGGATATCATAATTTTGGTTAACCGGATATCCGAGATCCGGTCCAACACCTTCTACAAACGTTAAAGTTAAGGTTAGACATGTTGACACATATATATAGGAGGGAATGCCGGATATCCGGATCCGTCTCAGGGCTAATATGGATGTATAAGACTAATGACAAATTCTGTAAATAGTCTAATAAATCTTGGGTAATTATCTAAATAGAAGCCAAATCATTGTGAGAGCGACACATCAGCGTGGCAATCTTGTTAATAACACATGATGGTAAGGTTTTTTTTAAAAAATGTTTCTCTATTAATATATAGGGGATATGAGATCTGGACTAATAAATTAAAATGGTAACATTTCATACATCGTACCATTAAGCGTTTTTTTTTTTGGATACTCGTTATATTTATTAGTCGATATTACTTTTTAGTGCTATTTTTTCTTGTTTGAGATGCTGATAACTTTTTCTGGGGAAAAAATTTGTACAGCTCCTTAAGAAAAAAAAATACAGTAGTAAGTAGTAACTAACTTTGATATAAAAAAGAATTTGATTAGATAACGTTTACCTTTTTTCGGGGTCAAATACTTGTCATTAACATAAAAAGAGAACTCTAAACACACAAGACATACACAAAAGAAAAGAAAACATATAACAAAGAAATTAACAATTATAATCCTACTAAATTACATGGGTCTATCGCTATATACGAATGGTATAGTTCTTATTATGTGCTTGTTAGCTATTGCTACTGCCACTTAATTCGCAGAGGGAGCACAAAGAAGAGCCCTACCGGTTATTGATTTAGAACACTTTTGACTGCGTTTGCTATAGAAGAGAGTCTAAAGTGTGTGGTGAGTTTAGATGTTGTGAGTGAGGTTGTATTTATAGTGTTTAGAGATGAATGTAGGGTTTTCTTCAAGTGAAGAGAGAAAATCTTGGTGAGCAAGTAGAAAATATTTGCAAATTAATGCATTTTCCAAAATAGTGAAGTAGGATTTAGCAATAAGTTAAAGAATATGTTAGTATATACCATCGATTATGAGTGTGATTGTTTTTTTTTTTTGGTGAAATATGAGTGTGATTGTTTGATATAGCATCTTTTCAATTTCTTCTAAAGGATGAAACCATATTTATAGGAAACAATAACATTTTTATATGATGAATATTGTTACGATCAAGTTTTTAAATCTTTATTTGTTAGAATGCAATCTTTAATCCACATTTTAATAGGAAAAAATTTGATTGTCAAATATTGATTTATTGTTCATTGACATAATCTAATCAAATATGTAGCATTAAAATAGGAAACAAATTTCTTTGTGAATATCAGTTTGTTATAACTACATATACGTTCCATATCTTGAAAAATCAGGGATTAAATGTCGTTTGGATTTAATGTATGGATTATTAAATAAGGAATGATTCGGATTTAAAAAATAATCGGGTCAAAAAACAAATATGGAAGGATCTGAATTAAAGATTTCCGGGTCAAAATCAATTAAAATCCGACCCGATTGGAAAGAGCAAATTTGTACTTCAAAAATGTTAAGTAGATATTGTTCCTCATTACATTAAAATATTTCATGCTTATATAAGCCCATTACTCGAAATAACTATTGGGCCTAGCCTCATAACATTCACGTCTCGCGAATTAGGAGAAACCAATGAGGAAAATTCAAAGTAGAATGGAAAACAATCTTCTACAGTTCTACTGATAACAAACTGGATTGGCTGATTTTTCAGCTCTAAGAGCATCATTAACGGGAGGATGTTAGCTGAATCTTAGGTATTTAATTGATTTAAATTAAATAGTTAATGCAGTAATAAGCTAAGAACGTTCCTTAGCTAAGATTTATTTTGAGTGTTAAGATACGGTTACGTGTCAAGTTCGGGAAGAAAAGTAAAGCATAACAAAAAGAAAAAATTGTTCGAGTTAGGAGAACGATTATGGTTCTGGGTGTTGCCAATTTCGTCGTGATTATTTCGGGCTGCGTTCTTACTCTCGTTTCCGACTCAGGTTGCGACAGCGCCGGTCAGCTATTTCCCGTCTTCGTCGTTTGTTTCGCTGCCGGCGTCAAACTCGCCGCCATGTTTAAGGTCGGTACTACTCAGGAACTCATGGCTATGACCATTATGGATTCTCCTACTCAGAACAACCACCAAAGAAAGGTACTTTTCTCTTTCTTTTCAATTTTCACTCTCTCTCAATTGTGAATTTCTTCTTTAAAAATCAAGTATTTGACGATGGGAGTTGACTTAGTGTTAGAGAATGTTATTAAGAATCAGGAGGGTTGTGTAACGAGCAGAATTGGTTCTGAGATTATGCATGTCTTAGTTAGTGTTTTGTGGATTCTGTTATGATTGCAATTTTGTTCTCTTCTTATCAATTATGATACTGATCTCCAAAATTGATAAGTCAAACCAGAGACTTCTCTTCTCTTAAATTGATATGCTATGATGTACACTTCGTGTTGTGGTCTCTTGTCTCTACTCTTCTTGCTAAGTAATCTCAGTGTGTGAACCTTATCTAATCTTTGTCTATTCAGGCCTTACTCTGCTGCAGAATAATAGCCAGTTTCTTGAATCATATGAGGACTGTATGGAAGCTCCAGCATTTCATCTTCAGGAGGCTGCTATGTTGCATAAATTTGCAGAAGCTGCTTATAGTTTATTGCCCTTCTTTGACATTTTTCAGGGATCAGCCAAACAATATCAAGGAATCGTTGACTGTGTTCAAACAATTGTAAGGGAGGAAGGAGCTCCTGCTCTCTTAAAGGTACACACACACACACAACTTCAAAGTTTCGAGTAGAATCCTTTAGAAAGTCAATTGTAAACTGAGTAGGTTTAAGAGTAGAGTTCTTACACGAGATTTGACTTATAGGGTATTGGGCCAAGAGTGTTGTGGATAGGTATTGGAGGTTCAATCTTCTTTGGTGTCCTCGAGAGCACTAAGAGAACACTTGCACAGAGACGTCCCAATACGGTTAAAGAAACCAAAGAGGAATAAGTTTCTGGCCGAACAAGAAAATGAGTGAAAGTTGATAATGTTTCACATTCAACCCCCTTTGTGAGTTCTATGTGGTCGGAGTTTGTTTAAGTACCAATGACCAATTCAACTTTCATGAAAAAAAGAGTGTTCATTTCTTGATTATATTTGACATTTAAAATTAGCTTCTTCTTTGTTTTCTGAAGTGTTCTTCTCTTTCCTTAGTTTTTAGATTTGATCTAATCATAAATGGTATTATAGAAGGGATCAAACCCTCATATGTATCATTTAGCTTTGGATTATTAATTTGTTGAATAAGAAACGAGCTTTCGAATACATGAAAGAGTATTTCCAATTTATCTAACGAGCACAACGAACTTTGGTTGTATTCATTTTTAATTCAGACTTTGTTGCTCAATTTAGATGTTGAACTTCAATTGTCAAATGTCAACACTGTTGTATTATACTTAGAAAGCATGGGTTCCGAATCTAAATAATCCACAAGACAAAAATGAAAAATATGTGTGATCGCAAACTACAAAGGAATCACGGGTGGATTTCACCTATTCTACAGAAATGCCTTCAAATCTCGTCGATATGATGACCACTAAAACTCGAATTCGTGAATCTCGTCGATATGATGACCACTAAAACTCGAATTCGTGATCGAGGTATGCATCTACAATTGAAGAAGGATTTGGTCGAGCATATATGAACAAAATATTCCAGAAATCAAGTTTAAAACAATTGTGTTTTATGTTATTTCTGTTATAAATTATATCTCATGTATGTTTTAATTTTTTTTTAATTTGCAACAATTATTAAATTTTCTATAATTATAAATTTTATTTTTATATTAATATTTTTTTTTCTAAGAACCACATGTTAAGAGCCTACCATTAATCACACAAAAATCTTAACTCAAAAAATCCAACTCTTAACAATCACTTTTACAAATAAATTACTTAAATATTGCTAAGATTAATTTCTAAGAGACTACCTATAATCATGCTCTAACCCAATATTGACCCAAACAAATGTTAAAGAAAAAAAATGTCTTCTCAATAATTTTTTTTAATTAATTATTTTTAATAAACAATTAAAATAATAAATTCTAACTTAATTTTACCAAAAAAATAATATAACAAAATATACCACAAAAAATTATATACTAAAATTTTGGTATATACTTTGGTAATATAACAAAATATACCACAAAATAATATTATAAATATACCACAATTCTTTTTTTGTGCTATATTTTGTTATAAAATTTTGGTAATATAACAATATATACCTTTTTCCCTTTTTCCTTTTGGCAATCATTTTCTTTTTTTATAAATTTAAAGGTAGGTTTTCCTTTTAAAAACAAAATATACACTTTTTTTGACAATCATAATATATGACCTTGGAATTTCATAATATACATATATTATGAAATTCAAAGTATATGCCAAATTTGTTTCTATATATCCATAAACACCACAAATCAAAGTATATATTATGGTATTTATAAATTCATTTCTTAGATTCTGTTTTCTTTTGTGAATTCAAAGGTCAGTTTTATATATATAATATACATACATATATATATATATATATTATGGTTTTCTTTTTAAAAACAAAATATACATTTTTTAAAACAAAAATATACTTAAAACCCAACCTTTTGTAAAAAGGAAAATGAATTTATAACTCAACATAACCCCAATTATCCTAAATTCTTCAAGACTCAACATTGCTTGCAGGTTGCTAAAATCGAAAGCTGAAAAATAGTAAATCCATCGTTTTAAATTTGCATTATGGGTCTGGACCCGTAACCGTAAATACTGAAGGCAATAGTGGTTCACAAGTTGAGTGAAAGTGGTCTATCAAGCTTGGAGGTTTCTAAAATCTTAATACTATTAATCTAATCCTTCTAAACCGGACAAGAAGGCGATGTTCTTATAAGAGTTTGTGAACTTGCGATGAAAGAAACATGGTAACAAGGAATTTACAAACTCAAAAGCTACACTGAGGCAAAGAGACACACGTCCACTGAAACTACTTACGACTTAATGAAAAGAGCAAGGAACGAGTTCATTAACAGTCTCGCCACTGCTATTTTGTCAACAGAACTTATAATTGTATTCTTCAAATGATCGGACCGCTTATCCTTATCTAGTCATAATACGAGTAAGAATGATAGTGGACATCACCTGACATGTCGGAGACATACCCATCGGTGTCATATGAGTAATCGTAGCCTTCTTCATATGAGTAATCGTGGCCTTCTTCATCTTCAGTATTGGAAATAACGTCATCATACAAATGAACTTCATCTTCAGTATCGGAATTAACGGCATCATACTCATGAATCGAGTCATTAGGATGTCTCAAGACTTTGATCCTATCGTAACACTGCTTCTTCCAATCCCCCACAAGGTTAACGTTGAAACACTTGCGTATATCAAGATGTTCTAGCTTCGGACAATTGTCAAGAATGGCGTTTAAACCGGCGTTTGATAATCCGTTCCTTAAAAGCTGGAGGTGGCGAAGACCAGGCATTGTTTCAGCGATTGCTAGAGCAATCTCATCATCACAGTCCAAGTCCAAGTAACCCCTGAGGTTAGGCTTCAACTGCCTTATCATCAACGTCCTCAGATTTGGACAAGACTTGCCTACAGCTTTCAAATCATCTCCTGAGAACGAGTATGTAACCTCGAGTTCTTCAAGCAATGGGAGTTTCACAACTGCTTTGAGAATCCCAAAGCTCGTTACGCGACCACAGGTAACAACTCCAAGGCATCTAAGATTACTTGATCTGCAAAAAACATGACCTACTGCTTATAAAAACAACAATAAGATGCAAAAATTTCATTCAGAGAATCGTTCCTACTCAAATTAACTATTGGGCCTAAGCTCATATCTCGCGAGGTATTATTAACCAATGAGGAAGACTCAAAGCAATTGACAGATTTATATGGTTAACCAAAAACAATCTTCTATTGATAACAATCACAAAAGAGAAGTTCTTATTAATGGATACTACGACACCAAAAGTCCAAAACCACAAACAAGAGATTGGTCACAAGACCTGATTTTAAACTTTATCCCAATACTCATTATGTGCTTAATGCAAAAGGCTATAAACGCCTTTGCTTTGTTCTCTGTTTGAAGAAGAAAAGAGTTTGTCTTCAACAAAAGGACTAAAGTGATTCTTTCTTAAACAAAGATTCCGAGGAGAAGCTTGGTTTAGAGAACAGCGGTGTCAACCAAGGCTTCTGTAATCTTCCTCTCCAGTTCCTTTGGCTCGATCCATATTGAACTCTGCTCACGTAGTAGCTTCTCTCTCTCTTTGATCTTCTCTTCCCTTTTTTGGCCCATCATCTTCCAGATCTCTAGCTTTTCTGCTCTTTCTTTAATCTACATATTATTAAACACAACAACCGGTCTATAATTCAACATTTCTTGAATCGGTTTCACAACTTGAAAGAAAAACACTATGACCATTACTGCTCTGAGGTTGTGACCGAGAGAAATGAAACGAGGTACTCAAAACTAGAATCAGAAACCAGGGAGAAGTACACTTCGCAATTAATTTGCAGACACAAGTATATGATTCAGTGAATACTACTTTGGTAAGTGTATGTGTACAGTGTTTCATCTACCAAAAACTCAGACAAATGACGCTTCTAACTAACAAGTTTCACTGCCCTCAAAAGAATTCCCATTGAAAGCATCAAGATCAAGCATCAAAATCTATCTTATGTTTGAATGTTTGATTAACAGGTATGATGCCAAAGCTGTAACCAGTAGAGACAATGATGATTAGAGGATTCATCAAAATAAGCAACGATTATCCAAAAGCTCTTTAGTCATACATCTCCATCAGCTCTAACTTAAAAGTTTTCTCTTCAATTCACAAACACCCTTTTACGTTATACTACGCCCTGAACTAGGAAAAATTCCCACATTTCAAGAGGACAACAACACTTAGTTTCACCAAATGCCAGACAAACCCATTCCTCTATTTACTCAGAATCATCTCATACTAAACTAACTACTTGATTAAACATCCATCATGGTTTCTTTCAAGAAACAAAGTACCAAGAACAGAGAAAAAGAATGTACCAGGGTTTGCCTGAACTCTTCATCAGCAATCTTACGTTCCTCAGCCCTAACCTTAGCAGCCTCAGCCTTCAATAGCCGCCTCTCCTCATTAGCAGCTCGTTCAGCAAGCAATCTAGCCTCATCCTTACGCTGTTTCTCAACACGAAGCATCTCAATCTCATGAATATACTCTTTACGATACACTTTAACTTTCTTTGCATAATCTCTCCTAAGCTGAGCAAGCTTTCTCTCTGCATCTTTCGGATCACTCGGAGCTTCCCAGCTACCAATATAGTTTTCTGGCTCAAGAAAATTGTGAGTCTCTTGGTGGAATCTATGGTGAGTGGCTTCAGCAGAGAAAGACCTGAGAGATCCAATCATGGAAGCGTTCTCACTCTGCCTCACAAGACGGCTTAGCTTATTGCAAAACGCCATTTTCACTGAATCTGATTCTACACAAGAAAGGGACAAACGAAAAACTCAAATACAGATTCAGATTCAACAACACACACAGAATTCGAAATTAGTGTTTCTACGTTGCAGCAACAATTAGGTCCACTAAATGCGAAAGCAAAATTGGTCGAAGAAGCTTACCTGGGAGGAATGAATCGACGGAGATTTGTTAAGAGAGAACCCAGGAAGAGGAAGAAGAAGTACAACGGCGGAGAAACAAACCGGCGTGAAGCTTTTTAGGGCTGAGAGAAATGAATGTATTTTGTTTTTTTAATATGAATAATTATTATTTCCCATTGTTTTTTACATTTTTACACTTTCATTGGCGAAAACAAAAAGATTGTTACTTTCATTATATGTCTAGGTGAATAAAGATTTCTTCTACTCGATATTTAAATTAGTGTTAGGGTTAGATTTTGTTTATAATTGTTGGACATGGGCTTTGCCCTCTATATGTTAGGGGCCCCAAAACAGATGTCCACAAGTTTATAAGAGCAACATTATTGGGAGGTGCTTAGTTTTGATTCTTAGCCCAATTTTTGGTTCTTAACCCAATTTTTGGTGCTTAGCTAAGAGCCATTCCTTAGCAAAATCATCAATTGCACCTTTAATTGAGCTAAGAACCAAGTTAAGAGCCAAGTTAAGCACCTTCCAATAAAGATGGTGGCCTTGATCACTATAAAGAGCCCATTAAGCCCGGAAGGGCAAAAGCGTCATTTACAGAGGAGACAGATGGAATTTTAGGGTTCATGTTCCCTATAAATAGCCAGAAGCATTATTGGGAACGGGATCCGATCCAGAGGTTATTAACTAGCAGACAAGAAGAATCGCTGCCTACCCCGAAATCGTTGCCTAGCCCGACATCGTCGCCTAGCCCGAATTTCGCCGCTTTGCTCGTTTTCGTATTCTGTCTTTCTGTTTCGTACGTTAAGTGTTCGGCTCGGCGGATAGTCTATAACCGCCGCGGCAAAACTTACATTCTGTAATCTCTTGATCGCTTATATCGTTAATAAAAGGACTAGCTCCGTTCACCCCCCCCAAAATCTCGTATATTATTATTGTTGCAACCTAGGTACAAACAATAATTATTTCAGATAATGTAGAAATATTATTATGAAATATATCATCTTTTAAAGAGTTTTATTTCCTCTTCTCCAACATGCATTGATACAACGTGACTTAAAAGATATACTCATTAGATTGAAAAAAAATTATTCATGGAACTTATATGACAAAGAGGAGGGAAAATATATTGCAAAAATAATTAAATGCTAACCAAGCAAATGGTATTATAATAATAAATAATTTATAAATAAAAAAACCGAATGATCTTACGGTTTTAAAACAAACCGAACCGAAACCAAAATATTTTAAATAATTATAGCCGAACGTGTTTTTGGAAAAAAAAAACGAAACAAAAATGAATCACTTAATTACAGTTCGGTTTAAATTTTTTGGATAAAGTTTTTCTGCCCACTTCTAATTTATTACTGGGCATAAGTTTATAATTTATTTTGAAATATATGTATACTTAATCGGCTAATCTATTGAACTTTTTTGGTATGAAGTTTTAACAATCGACTAATCTATTTTTTAATGAAATTTTTTAAACCATTAGGTTGTTAAAATTAAAACCAAAAATGTTCAATATGTTCAAAAACTAAACATGAATCTGCTTTTGTATTTTTTATATAAGATTAAATAAAATATGTTCATTTTGAGAAATTTTGATTAATTTTTAGTAAGTTTCTGTAAAATGTACAAAAATTATTTTAAAAAATTATAAAATATTTTATCATCTAAGTATTGGTCTCAAAGAGTCAAAGTTAATGGTGCTGCTAAATCACGCAACAAAATAAAAGATTGACAAAAATAGCTCTAAAATATGTTTTTATTCTAAAAATAGCACCACATTTGTAAACTTTCACAAATATCACTATACACTATAATTAAATATTAAATATAAATTATTAATTTAATTAATATAAATAAATAAAAAGTAAAAATTTCTCGCAAAAATTTTTAGCAACATGTAAAACATTTTCCACCAATTTGAATTTTCTGGAACGTTTATAATTGACAACACATGAAAGCGTTTTGAAATTTTCTTTTAATATTTGGTCATCTAGAAAAACGTTACTAAACAGTAGAAATATACATATATGGTATTGTTGAGTAAAACAAATAAATACAAAATATGATACTAAAAAATATACATTACATACATAATAGAGGAATACAAATGGAGAACCTAACATAAGCAAGTTAAACATACAATTTTGATTTCGTTTTAAAAATACGAATGTGATTGGTTTTTTAATTTACTTCATATAAATACTAAAAATGAAATATTGTATTTGTGAAAGATATAATCGGCAAATGAGGATTTATAATATATTTCAAAAGAAAACATTTTCTAGAGACATATTTGTCGATCTAAATAGTTATTTCACAACGATACAATTCTCTAACCTAAATTAATCTCTTTCGAACAAAAGAAAATGTATTATAATTTTCTAGAAACTTTTTTTTTGTCAAACTAGAAACTTGTTTTCCTTTTATGTTTTGCATAGACGTATATCTTTGTTCAAATATAGTTTGTGTAATAACTAACGTCAAGATAAACATTATGGAACTCTAAAAAAAACATTCATTTACTAAAATCTATGTGGTTACCAATTATCATCCAAATATAACCAAGTTTGAAATCCATCTATTCTCTACTATATAAACATCAACTACCGCTTGTTCATAATCCCACAGAGCCAATTGAACCATAAATTGAACTCCTAATCGGGGTTCCTTTTATAAATTTATTTATTTGTTTATAAATAATAATATGGGGATGTCAAAAAGTATCAAGGTTATTCTATCTCTTGCTCTTGTACTATTTTTGGCACTTGCATCAACCAAGGTTGAGGCCACAAGATACATAAGTTATCGTGGTATTAATCATGGAGATCATGCTATACATTGTGACAAAGCTCACCCTAATACATGCAAGAAGCAAGAAGCAAATCCTTACAGGAGAGGATGTGGAACGCTCGAAGGTTGCCATCGTGAGACAGGTTGAAAATGAATCAACCAACCCACCCAATAGCATAAACTATACATCAATACCTTGGTTAAAAAGGTGTTGACATGTTTCTCATTGGAGTACCTTGGTTATCTATATACACACTTTACATCTTCATATTCATTTGTTAATGAGATTATTTTAGCTTTGTAATTGATTGTAATCACATGGTGTTATGATCAATCATATATAAATATATATCAGTTATTATCCAATATTTTAACAATATTTCGAGCTATTTCTCACTTTCTTATATACATTGGAGCGATTATCATACTTCTTGCCACAATAATATAACAAGAGCTATGGGATCATACAATTATTACTCATCCCAAGGATGGAATTCAAAAAAGTAGACCCAAGACTAAAATACATAGTTTGTTTCATGCTCTAGATTCTCATACAAAATAAAAATAATCTTAGTAAATCGTATTGAAAATTGTTGAAACGGCTGCATATAGACGTAGGTCTATTAGGCGATCAATTGTATTCATTTTACAAGAATTTGTGCAAAAAAAGCAAACCATTGTTTAATCTGTTATCCATTGATGACATATTTTTAAATGTAATTATAAGAATAAATTGCCAAAAAAGGAAGCAAACTAGTGTATGACTTAATTATTTGAGAGTGAACTTTAGAAATAACCAAGAATATGTTCAAGTTAAGAGAATTTGACTAACATGAGTGTATATAGGGATGATGAGAAAATTAAAGTATTTTATTTTTATACATAAATGATATGTTCTAGACATTTTTAAAGACAATTGTATATTAGTTATTGCAAATTCTAAAATCTAATAAGTTATTCTATACACACTTTTTTGTTTTTGTTTTTGTTTTTTTCATTGGTCTAAGTTAGTTTTCAGTATATTTTTTAAAAAATATTCATTATATTTAACAGGGCTGACAAGCTATTTTTCACGGGAACTTTCGCATCAATTATGATAGACCCTAAACTATGATCCCGAACTATTTATCTCCCAATTTTTTTTATATATCTATTTCTCCCCTAAACGAAAGTTTAATATATAAGTCTCCCCGAGTTAATAGTTGGAGATCTATTAGCCCATAAACCTTAGTTTTATCAGTTTACTGTTTGCTTAACCAGCTAACGAAGACACTATACCAAATCAAACCTAAGCTAAACCGAATACAATTAAATTAATTAATTAAATAATTAAAGAAAAAAATATGATGGCTTTCTTCTCCCTTTTGGAAAATTATGGAACAAATCCGAGTACAATTAAACCTCTCATCTTCCCTCAAAAAATTTCCTATTATGTTAAAGAAAGCTTAAACCTTTATGGGTTTCTTTAACTACGGCGGCTAATTGGACAAAGGTTGGTTTCTGGGTTTCGTGACTTCACACAGAATCGTTTATGATTGACTAACAAATGATAATTTAAGTTTATTAGAATGATAAAAAAAAACTAACGAAAGATTGTGATTAAAAGACACAACTGTAAAAAAACATTTATTACGATCCTCTATTTATCTCCCAATTTTTTTTTATATATCTATTTCTCCCCTAAACGAAAGTTTAATATATAAGTCTCCCCGAGTTAATAGTTGGAGATCTATTAGCCCATAAACCTTAGTTTTATCAGTTTACTGTTTGCTTAACCAGCTAACGAAGACACTATACCAAATCAAACCTAAGCTAAACCGAATACAATTAAATTAATTAATTAAATAATTAAAGAAAAAAATATGATGGCTTTCTTCTCCCTTTTGGAAAATTATGGAACAAATCCGAGTACAATTAAACCTCTCATCTTCCCTCAAAAAATTTCCTATTATGTTAAAGAAAGCTTAAACCTTTATGGGTTTCTTTAACTACGGCGGCTAATTGGACAAAGGTTGGTTTCTGGGTTTCGTGACTTCACACAGAATCGTTTATGATTGACTAACAAATGATAATTTAAGTTTATTAGAATGATAAAAAAAAACTAACGAAAGATTGTGATTAAAAGACACAACTGTAAAAAAACATTTATTACGATCCTCTATATATTAAAAGTAGGTTATTTTTGCTGATGTGGCAAGCCCACAATTTTTTTCATCTTTTTTTCTTCTTAATTCTACTATCACATTTGTCAAACACATTTTTCCTCGTCTTCATCTTCTTTAAACTACTAACCAAACAC